GACTGAATTTGTTTTCCGAATTGGGCCAATGTCGTTGATATCCGTAATAAAGTGCCAAGTAATTGAGAATGCCATATAAAAAGCCATCAGAAGAAAACGTAACAAATTCCATGCGTTAAGAAAAATTTGTATAAATCAAATAAAATAAATGTCTTTTTCAACAAAATATATTCAGAAGGACCATAAGAAATACATGTCCTTATGCTAATGAAATTTGCATAAAAAAACTGCGAATGTAATTTATCTAAATTTTAAGAATTTAATTTGTTAAAAAATACAATTTGGAGGTTGTGAAAAATGACTCCTATTTTTTATTTTTTGGTAGCAAAAAAACAAAAAAGTTTGTTAACTTTTTTTTGTAACAAGTATTGTTGTATATACTTTAATATCTAAACAATATGCTTTCAACTAAAATCTAATTTTTTCTAATACGAAATAATCTGAAAGTCAATTAAAATATCAACAGATTTTATATTCATAGCTGTACACTGTGTAGAAGACGAATTGGCAATTAAGAACTTCATCGATTTATATTACTCTAGAGACCATTAAGAGAAGTACCTCCCTCTAGTTTCTGCAACTTGCCAATAACAGATAGAAAGCACTTAAGTCATGTGTAACTTCTAGGTTAACATGGCCCACCTATAATAAAAATATATCTTCGAAACTCATCAAAAGAGACCGCGTGAAAACTGCAAGGCTTACTACAGTTCTTTTTGGTCATTGGTATATTGGAACCTATGCAGAGAAACTGCTCATTCCTCATTATTCTCACTGCAGAATTTGTGGAAACTCGCAGAAAAAAGGAACTATAACACATTTTTCCGTAAATGCCCGGCTTTGGCGTACAGAAGATATAGGTTATTAGGAAGAGACTTCTTTGAAAGTGATTTATCTAAATTCTGCGGGATGGATTTAGTCTTTACTCTTCTATACTACGGTTCTTGCGAGGAATGTGATAGCAAAACGGCGAAAAATCCCTTTTCCCTTTTTCTCGCTGTATGTAATGTGTATATTAATAATATTTCTGTATAAATAAATTTTTTTTTCACATTTACATTATTTCTTAAATATAAAATGTATTATGAATGCTTCTAAAAGTAGTTGCAATTTCAATTCCTATTATGAATCTTTTTACCTATTCACAAGCTCGTCATTTCTGGCACACACTGCGTGATTCGAATTTAATGCAGCTTAAAACCAACAAATATTTTATGTTAAAACAATTATGTATTTTAAAAATTAGCAAATTTGAAAAGTGGAATTTTCTCATTTTGGCAATTAATTAATGCACAATCATTGCGTTTTGCTATTATCATTCGCATTTAATTAACCCAAAAGTACACTAATTGCATTCTGCGGCTGAATTTTAACGATTCCGCCGCTGGCATACAGATATGGTTGAAATGTGCGCTTCTGAATGAATGCATTTTAGGACAAATGCTATGCATTTTAGGTAAATGCAATGCATTTGATACGAAAAACTAATTTGACGTTTTCGGGAAAAACTTTTTTTTTTGTGAAATTTGTCACGTAACATAAATTGGTTTTGTCATAATGAAAAATTCCATGTGGCACTAGACAGCATATTAAGCGGATTAAGTGGATTAGTGAGACCCAAAATTATATAAAATTTTGTGATGGTATTGATCAAATATCAATAATATTATTATGTCCTGATAAATGAAAAAATGTTGAATAATTATTTTCTAGAGTTTGAGCTCAGTATGCGCTTATTTTCAGATTAAAAAATTATTTAATAAAGAGGCCAACCGAGTAAAAAATTAGTCTGCTTTGTGCAAAATATATCACGTACATTATTTGTGTCCATTGTGGCCACATTGTGGTCATGCTCTGTGAACAAATTACATATTGTATATTGTCTAAAACCAAAAATAAAACAAATATTTTGAAGCCTAAAAAATATTTAAAAATTTTTCATCAAAACTTGTCAGCTATGGAAAACTTCAATTAACACATTTTACATACAATATTTTACAAAATTAAAATTACGTACATATATGCATTATAATTTATATATATACATTTATTTTACAAACAAATGGGTTTGAAAATTTTACAATATCTATACACTTAGATATACAAATGTGAATATATGTATACTATATTATTAGATCAGAAAAAATCTTTTGATTGTGGAGATGAACTAAAATCACACTCTTTGAATACACTTATTATAATCTGGGCCACAATATATTGTAGGTAAATCCAATCACCAGTACATGAAAGCCAAAACAAAAAATCTTCAGTGAAAATGTGTTAAATATTTGTTACAACCCGGATTACAGTTGATTTTATATAAGTAAAACATCATAAACAGTCCCTATTTCTCTATTTGGTCAGCAATCTCTTCCGCTCAGATGGAAAGAGTCCATCAAGCCTGTTTGGGCGGAAACTTCTTCGCAATTGCACCAACTATACCCGCAAGCCTAACGACAAGCAATTCGTCGTCTCTTTCTTTGATGACAATGCCAAGATCACTTGTGTTGATGACTACAGTTTGTCACTCGCCTGTAGGTATCTTACCCGGCTTCACGATCTCCCCCCTGACGTCTCCATTCTCATTACCCTCTCTAAAAAAGGGTAATGAACCTTGTTCAAGTCTTAAACCTCCTCAGTAGCTATCCCATTACTTTGTCATCACCTTCTATAACCGCGGGTTTCGTGACCCTGGATACAAAGTTTACCGTTAATCTTACCCCCGCTTCGTAACCGTAACCCAACCCCCTTTAGTATGAACCATTCCCCCAATTCACGCCCATGCTTTCTGGCTTAGATGAACCTAGTGCACTAGGTATTAAGCCTATCTGTTCTCATCTCTCTCTCCTGATTACTAGAATGAAGTTTCTACATTGCTGTGAAACTCTTCTCCATTCATTCCTAAGTGGTGGTTTTAGTGAGTTCAAGTCTCACACTGTAGCTTCCGATGCTTTTCACTTTTATTAACCATTAGCGCAGTATACCGTAGTATGACTACCCCACAACTTAGCCTAACAATAAGCACGACCTATGTATGTTCTGAAAATGAGTTTCAAAAATCGTTTTATACAATATTCACATTGAAGGACAAATTAGAAAGAAAGATTTTGCACCTTTAATTGGAACTACAATATTTCTACGAATGGTTCGGAGATTAAATACGAAGTGAACACATGAAAATTTTTATCTTAAAAGGATATAAGAAGATCCTTTCAACTTGCGAGTTTTTTTTACTGTCTTCTCAACCAAAACCTTTGTTATGGAGGAAATAGATCGACTGATTTCAAACAAAAAAAAAAATCAATAGATTGTTAATTTCAGTAGAGCTGCGATCCTCACGCTGTCAGTCCATAGTGCAAATTCAAAAATAAACCAGTGCAAAATTCTATTCAGTTCAGTGAGTAACCAGTTTTTAATATCATTACTTTGAACTCCAAGGCTCCGAAGAATAGAAAGAAATGAAATTGGAAATATACTCAGAAGAATTCGAGAAGGAAGTTTTAAGGATCGAAGGCATTCTTAGCACAAAAATTAAAACCGATCTCAGCAGTCATTATTTTCAAAAAGCAATATAATACAAATGAAAACTGCAATTAGATACAAAAAATTTAAATATTAAAAAATTTTCTATAAAAAATCATCACCATTTTTATGACACTTTCAGTTTTTTATGACTTTAACATGTTCCGCGGTTGTTAGACGATTCATATTATAAAATCAAAAACCTCAAAGTAAACTTATGATACCTTGAATTACCATTATCTTTGACATATGTTATTGAAACAGTGCTATGAATCACTAAAATCTCCAAGTCTCTATAATAGGAAGTTTTTAAAAATATATCACTATAAAAAACTCCATCAATAATTAATTATATATTGTAATGTAAATCAAAATCAATTAAAAAATTAACAATAAACAAAATGCAATTGCAAATACCAATAAAAGTAGATAATAATTAAATCTGCTTAACATTTTAAATACTATTGCATTTAAAAAGTTTCAATGCTAAATGTATATATAACTAATTACAATGAAATTATTTTAATTAGTTTTAAATAATATTTAATTCAAATGAACCAATATTTAATCAGCTTATGTGCGTGCTAACATTTTAAAAATTTTGTTAAGAGTAAATTTATTTTATTTATTTTATACATGATATATTCATTTTAACAAATGTTATATTTACTATCACAAAAAAATAATAATAATAAAATAGGATAAAATGGATAATTTACACAATTACAAATACAAATTAAATAAGACGTGACCAACGCTGGATGTGATTTTTGCTATTTAGTACTTTTTTTTATATATACTACTTGGAATAGTATGAGATTCGTAATTGAAACTAAAGTAATTAATTTTTAAATTCATTTTAAATACATATAATATAGGATCAAACAAATTTAAATAATTTTAATTAAAAAATTTCCAGTGAAAACAAATTGAATTGTTGGTATTGATAATATTTATTCAGTAAATAAATATTATCAATTTACGTGTGTAGGAATTTTCTTTTTTATTTATTAATTATTTTTTTAATTCCCTGCAATTATATTGAAATTGATTTGAAATTTTATTTTTCTGCATAATTTATAATTATTATTTTTTTTAATTAATGCTTTGGTAAGTATTTAAGCTCAAACCGCAAACCTTGCCGTACGTGATCGATAAA